CCCGAGTTTCTATGCATTTTCGTCTTTACTCTGCCTCCACCTGAAGTTTTTACATTCGATCCACGTATACCTGCTGTATCCTACACGCTTCACGACGTAATCCCTTAATTCGTCAAGTTGCCTTAACTCTGTGACCTCGCTTGATGCACACCACTGTGCCAGGACACGTACGTTGCTTTGGACATGAATAACATACGTAAAACCCAGAGTACCGCTGGCTTCTCATATTATTAATATTGAAGGTGGTGGAGACCGAACCGGGACAGTCTTTCTTTCAAGCCATGGTGGTAATTCTTTCCTTACGCTAGTCTACCTTTTTCGTGCTGGACTTACACTGCGTTCACAAACCAGCTGCGGCTTACTTTTCTTTGAAGGCTTTCGATAGCTCTCTACGACACACCAAACGGATGTTTCCGGAGCTTTTCTCTTGTCCGTAGCTGCACTTTATCCTTTAGATGCATGCTTGCTTATTGCCCCCCCCCCAACTGCGACAAGGTGAAAAATCTTAATTAGGAACTAATTTTCAAAAAATAAATGAGTAAATAACTGCTACACAACTACTTTATCTCATTATGGTAGTTAGTATGTACCTATTGTAGCGTAGGAAATATTGAAGTGTTTGTACAGATGTCGGCCGATATGGGTAGGCTTCCCCAAAAAAGATGCTTTAGTTTGTTCTTTCCTTGTAAGGAATAGGTCAAGAAATGCCAAATAGTGGTCCTATTCGATTACCATGGCGAACGGAATATTCTAGTGGATGCTATTTCGGTATTGTAGCATTGCTGCATTTAAGTTAGCCACTTCTCAACATAAAAGAACTCCGCCTATACGGATTCCTAGATTCCTGAAGAGGGAATATTGTGTTAATTATTAATTTAATTATATAAATCCTTTAATATAATAAAACAATAACGAAAATGCACTTAATTAAAATTTTTGAAAGCCCTCCGATTAAATGGTAATAGGCTCCGATGGATTTTCGTAAATTTAAAATTATATTAATAGGTAGGTGAATATATTTAGTGAGTACCTTCATTTGATATTCATGCTGAGAATAAATAGGTACACAAAGGTTAAAAGGACTAAGGAATTAGTTGAATATGACAGATCTCGCGACAAATCAATCAATTATATCGTTAAAATAGTCAGAGCAATTGACAAACACATAAATCGAGGAAGCCGAAGAAATGCCATCAAATTGTCTTTGATGTAGATCAGTTATTATGACATTGAAAACGGTGATTATTCTAAGTACTCAAACTTGCCATGTGACATCGACAACTTCCCGACAATGCTGTTTATAACTGCGTCTGCCTGTTGCTTCTGCAAGTTACATATCAAACGCTATTAAAATTCATTAATAAGATCATCGATAAATAATTTGACTGATCCGATCTTAAATTCCGTTGGCGGAACAAGATTATTATCAATCATAAAAGACCTCTGGTTAGGCCAAGGCGATGTGCCTCCGAAGTACATATACAAAATATAAATCCAATCGGAAAACTTTGAAGCCATTATCAATTAATGATCTACAAATCAGAGAAGTGATTCCTAGTGTACAAGCAGCATTGCAGTAATTAGTAAATAAATATCGCCACTGTTTTGCTACAAATATTTATGAACTTGGAAAGTCAAAACAACCAAAAATACACATCGAGTTAAATAACGAACAAACATTTATTTATTAATTACACAGAATATCATCGGCTAAGAATGCTGTAACTAAAAGATGATCCAAGGACTTCTGGACGTAGGAATAATAAATGAGTCAGTTTCCCCATTTAGCTTACCTATTCTGTTGGTGAAGAAGAAGAACGGAAAGTATGGATTATCGTATGTTGAACTCAACTACAGTGAAAAACAAGTCTTCAACGCTTCGAACAGACGAGCAAATAGTTAAATTACATGCTTCTGTATGTATACAGTGTTTGACCCCCCTACGGACATTTTGAGTGCAACAGAATGTCTTTTGGGTAATATAATCCAAAAAATGACGAATCAAATGTTAAACAACGACTTAGTAACTGTCTATTTCGACGACACACAGTTGTATATAAACTAGCTGCTACTACTGGTTAGACCTTTAGGTTACATTAAACGAAAATTGACATTATTAATACTCTTAATTCAATTTAGTGCGTAAGATGCTGCAATAGTGAATTTAATTACATTGGTCAATGAAACAGACTCTTAAAATTGAGGCTAAGTGAGTATAAAAGCGATTACAAGGAAGCCCTACTCAAAAATATAGCTACTACAGCATTTTCAAATGCTTTGAAAATAGGCCATAATTTGAATTTTAAAGATTATAAAATTCTTCACGTGGAATCCGATTTGTTCAAGAGGCTGTTCCTTGAAGTAGCTCATATCGTCAAACTTGGCAAGTAATCGATGAATTATAGGATGGCTCTTGAAAACAATTTTTTTATAATAAAATTACTATTCTCTATTTAAAAACATTAAATACGACATCTCAATTCGAGTCTTCGTAATATTTCGTTTGTGGTTCATCTTCTTCATTGAATTGTATTAATTATTGCCACTTAGCTGTAGATTGCCGGGAAGATTACACATAAATGTATATTTTCAAAGGAATTTTTCTGATTTGAATCTGACCATCTAGGTATCAGTGACTGAACATGTATGACAGTATTGTGTATGAGATGCCTAATTTTTAATTGTTTTTACCCAGTCTAAATAATAATAATACCGCCTAATAAGTGACTACAATATCCTAAACTAATTTAAATCTAAATATGGCTAAGTAAATCTAAATTGTAATTCTATTTTATTAGTTATTTTCCTTAACAAAAATTTTATATAAAGGTAGTTTGCTATTTCCAAATTACATAACGTTATTAGGCATAATCCTACAATTTATTATTTAAGAATATTTATATTAGTAGTTGTGTGAAATTGTAACTTATAGAACTCTTGAAGGAGTCCCAAACCAAGGGGCGAAACGTCAGGAATATTGTGAAGAAACAAAAACAATTTTTCACTCGAAATTAGTTCAGATTCTTTTTGGTGCTTATTAAAAAGGTTCACAGATTTTGTATTGTAGTGAGCACGAGTGTGTTTGTGTGCGTGAACAGCTTATCGATTCGCCGACTAGCCGCGGGCGCCTTTCTCCATGTGCGCCGTATTTGTAAATGTGTGTGTCGTACCTGTGTTCTAGGAAAGCAGTTAAACAGTTCAAAGAAAAACAAAATGATCCGGATGTTTCTAGAGGGTTCCAAAAAGGAAACAAAAGAGTATTTAAAGGAAGAGACAATCGCCGAGAGAGAAGAAGAAATAAATTGATCGTTGCAGAAGTGAATCCAGAAATAAATCGACAGTGATAGCAGTGAAATAAATGGCGCAGTGAATAGTGATATATGAACAGTAGTGTTAAAAAATATAATAATTCATAACCTTAGTTTACTAATAATTTAATAGTGTTTTTAAGTTCTTCAATAATTAGTGCAAATAAATAGTTTTGTCGTTATCAGTATTAGAAATTAATTTTATTAAACTCACGAACATTACAATATTATTAATATTATACTTTGCATCATCGTTTGAGATTATTCGGTAAATGAGAAAAAAACTACTCAACAACAGTTTGGGGACACTCAGTGCAGAGAAACAACTCCCTTTATACCGTACGCAGACTTATGCTTATACACATATATTGGAACACAAATGGAACGACATAACCGGGCGATCGTTTCACATTTGGCTTTTTAGATTTAAGCCGTGTAAATAATTTAGGTGTAAATACGCTGTAGGTAAATACAATGAAAAAATTAGTCATGTAAAATAGACTCGAGTCTTTTCATCTCCTTAGTACTGCAAATGCACTTGGTTCACATATTCAGAACCTTCTGATCTGTAGAAGTACAACTACTGGTACTTGTCAGAGCGATCTTCTAAGCGTCATATTCCACCACATAAGAAATTACATGTTATCTGGAACGGACAGAAAAATCCTTGACGGAGCATCGCCTTACTCACGAGGATACCACTAACATAGTTACAACAACTTATAATGTTAGATATTCTTAGGGCTACAGGAATATTAACATATCTCAGCAAAACGATAGGCATATTATTGTCACGAGGTATTTTGTTACTTTGGGTTTTTTGTTAATTATTTATTTTAATTACCTGATTATAATGTATTTTGATTAATTTGTCGTGATTGGTAGTAAGGTACTAAAATGATAAGAAACGCGAGATTGGAAACAATAACAACCATATTATATGGAATTATACCTACAGAGAATTAAATAGAAACGTTTCCAAAAAGGATCTTTCTCCCAATGTAGATCAACACACCGACAAATTTACTTACATTGATAGGAGCGTTGTAATCATCCCGATCACTAGGTGGTGATACCAACAGTTAGGGTTTTCCACCGGTTATGGTCTTAAGGGTAGTGTCTTTTTCTCAACGCGTTCCCGAGTCGACTGATCGCTATTGGATTATCGATCCCCGTCCACGCACTAAACTTCTTGATGAGCCAGTGAATTATTTTTGTACATAGTTCAACATGGGTCATTCACTGGTTCTAGAAGTATCTTTGGTTTAGCTGATTTAACAAAAAACTGATGAAATTTGCGATACTAACTAGGTTAGAAACCCTCTTTGTATTTTTTGATGACTTCGTGAAGTTCCATAATTTTCACAACAAGCAGAACTATCGAACTTGCGTCAATTTCCGCTTGTACAAAGATAATTCTTTTCGCTTACTGTTTCGTTGCTGGGGAATGCAAAATGCACTTATTTTGCAAGTAAATGAAGTAATTATTGTGCGTAATATTTGTAAATTATCATCATTTGGTTAACCCTGGACTGGCGGGCAAATAATTACGCTAGTTTATTATTTAGAATTTGAACATAAAATTTTGAATTCTTCGTTACCTACTTCAGAATTAATTTTTTTTTCATATATACTATTATATGAACAATTTTTTTAGATATTATAATTAACCTATTCTCATTTTTCTTACAGGGGCATTCTTAATTCCGTTTGTGATAATGTTGGTATTAGAAGGAATCCCGTTGTTCTTAATAGAATTAGGAATAGGACAAAAAATGAGATTGGGTTCTCTAGGCGTTTGGAATACAATCCACCCCTGGTTGGGTGGAATCGGGATTTCATCCTGTGTTGTTACCTTCTTCGTTGCACTTTACTATAACGTAATAATAACATGGTGCTTCTACTACCTTTTCAACAGTTTTCAGGTAAGGATCGTAATACATAAATGAAATTTAAGTATTAATTGTTGAAGTATTAACTGTAGGTAACGAATGTATTGAATTCTGGTAGCATTTTCACTTTTTAACGTATAAATGTCATACTTAGTTAATTGCATAAAGAAAAACTTTTGCAGTTCATTTCCATAAGCCCTTTTTTAAAAAACAATTAATAATGATGTTTTGGTCATAAAATCATTCAAACTCTATTTTGTTTAACACATTATTTGTGCTAGCCATATGCCTTTTAGTTCCTTTCCTTTTATCCCTCAAATAGGTTCTTGTTTATTTTCTTTAAACTTATATCTTGACGTTGTGACTACCAACCTATTTAGTGTGGTCACTTACTGACTTACTGAGGTGCTTTGTTAGCTTGAACATTATGTAATTTTAATGATGAGCAAAGCAAAACCAAAACTAAGACTCTCCCAGTCTCTTGATATTGGTCTTGCTTTTGCTTATTCGGTCTTAAATACTTCTAGTTTTGGTCTTGGTCTTGATCTTGCTTAGTTAATCTGATACTTAATCCTTTTTTTATAATTCTAAGCACAATTTTTTATATTTACCGACACAATAATTGTCTTAAATGCTGAAATTTTCTGTCATACATGCGAGTTTGTCTTAAAAAAAAATAGTCAATAGTTGTGAGAGTTATGAAAACTGGAGAGCTTACCCTCCTCCATCGCATAAATTGACCTTTTAGCGAATAAAACAGTACAGGGTAGGTACTTGAAAGAAGTAAAAAATATCGAGAAAAATTTTTTTGTCTATATTTGAAGCATGGGCTATCCAGACGTAGGAAAAACTACACTCACTCCGAGGGCATTCTTGTAGCTCCCTTTTTTTAAAGAGTAGTAAAGTTTCTTATATTTAGTGTTAAAATTAAGTAAAGCCAACTGAAAATTTGAAATACTAAAAATGTTTTGTTAATAATGAATATATTAAAGTTGCTTCAGATAGGTTAACTCATAAATCCAACTATATGCAGTCTGTTCTACTAATACACCGTTTGAAAATGCTGTCTACGTCTAATTTACATGCATTTAGTTAATACTTAATTGTTTTGTGTTGTGGGGAAATAAATATATGATGAAAGAATACTTTCTGGTTAAACGCCAAATTAATAGCGAGTAACCAGTTCAAAAAAGTTGTATAAGGCGATAGTTTTGTAAAATATTTAATTATTAACACTTAACACTTACTTTATACATATAACAATTATAATTATCTAGGTAGCTCTGAGAATCTCAATTTTAATGTGTGAAAGTTATTGGTTGCGAATGATGATAATGAAT